TTGATTTAGAAGTTATATTCTTTGTGTTCCGTATTGTATATTCACTGTATTAAAGTCCCTTTTCATTAAAGTTTTATATGTTTTGTCTTGTTGCGGCGGATGGCAGAACCCACTTAGAGCAGACAGGTTTGGGGCTTCAGGGGTGCCCCTCTCCCCCTGTCCTGGAACAGATTTGGTGTCCTGTAACAGGGTCTCCTGGCTTAGCGCACCTCCCAGCACCAGCTCAGCTGCCCAGGCCAGATGCAGATTGCTAGACCCCCACTTGCTACTTCACATGGCTGCAGTGGCCTGGGCTCTGCATTTTGTACAAGCACGCTGGTTCCCTGGGAAGGTAGACTCTGATTGGAAAACTCTGGTTGAATGTCCAGGACCCCTTCTAGACAGGGATGAGAGTTGCCTGGGCTCTTCTCTGTCATTCATGCAGGCCCTGTACCTAATAAGGCCGGAGACTTAGGCCAAGAGGAGGGAGTCAGAGGAATCCAGTAAGGACCAGGCTCCTAGGGGCTGTGAAACACACTGGCCCCCAGACCCCCCTTTTCTCATGTGGGACACTGTTGGGCAGACCAGACTCAAATGGGACAGGCAGGCTGGAAATGTCGCTTGGTCAATTTGTCATAAAAGAGGGCAAGCGCAGGGACAGGGTGAGAAGGGTCGAGAATTGATGGCAGTACCCCTGTGAACCACCTAGTACCCAGAACCGGAGGAGAGCTGTTCCTAGGGGCTGGGACTTCCTCTTCCCACCTGGGCTTAAAGAGCAGGAAGAGCTATATCTGCAGTCAGGGAGGGAGCGATGAACCCAGACACTTGGTCTGCCCTCCCTACTCCCTACTTGCCCATCTCTGCACCAGTGCAGTCAGGAACAAAGACAGCCCCTAACTGCCAGCACCATCACCTGGCAAGTGCCCTGGCCCCTGAGGACTGCAGACAGTCTCACCTGTCCTGCAGGTGAACACTGAGTGGGCTGCTGTCTTGACTTTCTCTGTCTCACTTGTGCTGTGAGAATCACTTGTGTTGTCAGAATCAGCCATGGTGGAACCGCCTAGCATTTTGTGCTGTGATCCCTGGAGAGCTCAGTGCCCTCTTGGAGCCTCAGTTTCCCATCCATACCATAAGGATGTCAGTCCCTGCTGTGAGGGTCACTGTGAGGAGGGAACACGTGCTGAAGGCCCTGTGACTCTATTGCAGCATTTCCTCCAGCTCCTGGAGCCGTACGTTTGAACCCTGTGCTGAGGGGCTTTGCAGTACTGTCTGGGTGGATTGCATCGCCTGTTCTTGGGCCCTGCAGTAGGAACAGTACCTTCCTTCCAGTGCTTTCTGTCTGGCCCACAATTCAAGAATTCCTGCAAGCGCATTGGTGTTATGTTAGGGTTCAGAGAAGGATGCTGAGTTCAGTTTTCTTGGTTCAAATCTTTACGCCTCCTACCTCTGTGACCAGAGCAAGTGATGTAGCTCACTTGAACCTCAGTTTGTGCATCTGTACACTAGGGGTGATGACCGTAACTGTTTCCTAAGGACTATAAAGGAAATATCCCAAAGGTGGACTGAATCCCCAGGCAGGGTATGTGCTGGATCCCCACTAGGGAGAGCTTGGATCCCCATGCCTGTCCAATAGCAACTATAATGCTCATTCAGAACATTGCATGCCAGAGGCCTACCTTCTGCCATCCCTAGCCTCTGACCAGGCTGGGACACATCCCTACACACCCTCACCCCAACACACAGGGCCTCACTGGAGGCAAAGGCTGCTCCCCTGAGGAGTTAATGTGCTAGTGCAGGCCTGACCTGCTACAGCAGAGCACCCAGTAAGAAGAGCAGAGTGAGGGCCCTCCCTGATGACACAGCGGGTTAAAGCACAGCACTAAGAAGCTAAAGCCACTTCAGCATGATTTCGATCCCTAATCCCGGAGGTGAGCACATGGCGTGGCAGACCTCTCCTGACCGCCCGCTGCTCCCCTCAGCAGTGCACTTCATAGATCTGCCTGTTCTGCTCCCCGCTCTGTCTCTGGTGAATCTTTGCACTGCCCCCTGCACCTCTGGCCTGCACCCAGTTCTGTATGATTAAATAAATAAATCTTTTTTAAAAAAAAGAAGAGCAGGGTGAAGCCCAGCTGGACTTGTCAGGACAGAAGAAGCTTCTCCAGGGGATCTGGCCTCCCCTGTGCACCTCACCCTCTCCCTCAGCATTCCCAGCCCACCCATATGATCTGAAATGGGTCCAGGCCCGGAGGCACTGCAGGGGGCACTGTAGAGCCAAGTGGCCTTCACCTTAACTCCTGTCAGCCACACTGGCCGCCATCTGCCCTGTCTTCCCACCCCAGTGCTTTTCTCTGCTTGGAATTTCATTCCCCTTCACCTCTCAGCCTGTACACTGATGCTCTAGGACTTTCTGACTCCTTACGAAAGATACAGCACCCCCACCCCTCCCGTGAGCCCCTGTGAGCAGGGCAGCTCTCCCAGCTTGGCACACACACAGCAAGCCCACTTTCTGAACAAACCAGCAGAAGCAGAAGCTGGCCGGGCAGCATTAGGGTACAAGTGGTCAGTGCTGAATGAAGCACTGGGATTACAAGGTGTGGTGGTGGTGGTGGGGGAGTGGTTTTCAAGAATGGAGAACTGAAGAGCTCCTTGTGGGCCCAGGTGGTCAGAAGATTCATCACAGGGGAAAGCGCCTGTGGCGGGGTGAGGTGGTGCAGATGTTGTAAAGAGGAGCTGGAAATAAAACTCGTAAGGGAAGGGCGGCTTTCCTGCTGCACAGACCTAAGCTGATGGAGGAGGGGGCTGGGCAGCGTCTCTAACTGCCTGCCTACGGTGAAGAGAGGGTAAGGCCTTGTCATCTGGCTGTGCCTCCTCTTGCCTCAGCACCTGGGACAAGCCCTGTACCAGGAGGTGCTCAGTAACTGCTCACTGACTACATGGGTGGGTGGGGGATGGGTGGATGGATAAGCAGGTGGGTTAAAGAACTAGCCAATAGGTAGATATATGTGTGCGCCATTAAATGGGTGACTGGGTGGGTGAATACATAAAATGATAAATGGATGGTTGAGGATGCATGGCTGGCTGGATGAGTGGATCAATGGAGTGAATTGGTTAGTGGTTTCTAGATGATGGATAAATAAGGAATACTGTAGGGAAACATGACAGAAATGAGAATATATTTTTATTCCAATAGCTTATGCTACCAGAGAAGTCAGGAAGAATCAGAAAAGGTTGTATCACTTGCATGAAAAAAGTTAGAGTGTACCCTTATGTTAAGATGACCTCTTGGTCCAAAGGGAATGTTCCAGAAGACCAAGAGCCAGAAATTAGATGAGCCTTTTGCAGAAACAGAGCATAGCAGACAGTAGACAGTCCCAGCCCCTTCACTTAACCTGGATTCTCCAGAGCATTCTACTGTGGGCTGTAGGCTGTGGTGAAGTCTCAGCCTGTCCGTCTCCCCCAGAATATCCTCAAAACTTATTTCAGAGACCACAGAGATGGCTGTAACTGTGATATCTGTGTCTCTCCCCACCCCCATTCCCAGCCTGGAATCTGAAATTTGGGAGTGTCAGGAGGGCTTAAGAAATGATGGATACTCAGGACAGAGACACAGGAGATAGTTGTGTGGGCACACATGCACATCCACACACGCACATGCGTGCACACACGTGCTAGCAGACGTCCCTGGGCTGACGAGTATCTTCCTCTGACCCCTGGGCACTTTCTCCAGAGTGACCCCGCATGGCAGGTCTTTATCGACTCGCTTTCCTGTCTGTGCACACATGGAGATGGGTAAAGAGAAATGTGGGCAGGACTGTGGGAGTGCAGGAGGTGCTGAGGCGGAGAGGAGCCTCCCAATGAAGACAAATGAGGCCCTCTAGGAGCCTCAGAGTCAGCCCAACAGCCTATTTGTCTTTGTTGCCTCAGGGATGTCTGTGAAGATTCTGGACTTTTCGTGGGCGTTGGGCATGGGCAGTGAGAAAATAATCACTCCTTCAGCGGCTGAGTGACTAGTCACTCCACCTGACCCAGTCTGCTCCCCCAGGGCAGGGTTGTCCTTAGTCAGAGGCCACAAGAGATCCTTAAAGGACAAGTAGGACCCTCTAGCAGAAGGCAAAGGGGCTCAGACAGCTCCTGTGGGGTCCCCCAGCAAAGCCTTGTAGATTCCCGAGGAGTCAAGCCTGAGGAAGAGTGGTCCTCCTGTTCTTGTCATGCCTCTAAGCTATTTTTCCTCCCTCAAGCACTCGGGTGACCAGGTATCAAGCAAAGAGTGAGCAAGAAGATGTGGGGGTGACTAGGGTGAGACAGTGTGTCCAGGAGACGTGGGCCTCCCCTTTGACTACAGGGGAGGTTGCTCACCCCCTCCTTCCTTTTCCCTCTCCACTGCCCTCTGTCCAGATCAACTTTGTATTTCTATTCAACATCGTCAGGATCCTAATGACAAAACTGCGAGCATCCACCACCTCGGAGACGATCCAGTACAGGTAGGGGGAGAAGCGAGGTCATCTGACCATCCCTAACTTCATCCAGTAGCTCTCGCAAGCTCCAGAAGAAACACCCCCAAGGCCCAACTCATCACCCTTTCGCCCCCCAGGAAGGCGGTCAAGGCGACTCTGGTTCTCCTGCCCCTCCTGGGCATCACCTACATGCTCTTCTTTGTCAACCCTGGGGAGGATGACCTGTCGCAGATCGTGTTCATCTACTTCAACTCCTTCCTACAGTCCTTCCAGGTGGGTGGGGTGCCTGACTGGACAGGGGCCACAGCATGTTTGTCTGACTTAGAGTGCCGGGCACCCCAGCCCTCATGAAGGTCACATAGGACTGGTGCACATGTGGCTCTTTTATATACACGCTGATACAAAAGCGTGCACACATGCAGAACCCAGCCTGGCCCCCAAACTGCCCCAGCTGCCCTGAACTGAGCCCTGACCCCTATCACCCCAACCCCAGGGCCCAGGTGGGTCCATCGCCTCCCTGGCCCAGTCACCCCAGCCCAGCACCTGCTCTGAGTGTTCCCTGCAATACATCATGTGCAGTGTGCACCTGGGCATGCCTGAATCCTGGGGGCGGAGGGGGGGGGCACCCAGCTCTGACCCTCTGTGTCCTGGGACAGCATTCCCCAGCTGTCTTGTTCCTGCCCACCCAGGCAAAGAGAATCCTCAAGTGAGTAACTGAGTGCTCCTGCCTTTCTTCACAGGGTTTCTTTGTGTCTGTCTTCTATTGCTTCTTCAATGGAGAGGTATGAGGCTGGCCTTGGGGGAGGTAGAGACATTCATGTGCACAGGCCCCACGGCAGGGCAGTTCTTTCCAACTTTTTGGGGTCCCTGGTTCTGAACATCTCTGCCCTGGAGAAAAAGAGGGATGCCTACAATGCTATGCAGACTTGCGGGGAGAGGACTCCTGCCTGAGGGACTCTGGCCAGTCTAGAAGGCCGAGTGTGCAGGCCAGAAAACATAAACAGCTCCTCAGATGTGCTGGGAGAGGCATGAGCAGGAGTCACACTGCGGGGTCTCACAGAAGAGGGAAGCTAAAATAGGGGTGGTGATGGGAGAAGGCCTCCTGAAGAAAAATGTGAGTGGGGCATCCAGGCCTTTATGGACTTGGGGAGCAGAAATGACAGCAAGGCATCCCCCACCACAGAGAAGACCACCCTGCTGGGCAGGCTCTAGAAGCAACCAGGTAAAGCCTGGTGAACTCACAGGCCCTAGAATCCTAGTGGGACTGAATCAGGAGAGGTGATCAGTCAGGACCATGGTGGGTCAGGGCACATTGTGGGTCTGGAACAAAGAGCAGACACTAACTACACTGAGGCCCTGGCAGCACCCCAACAGTCAAGAGGAATGTCTGCCTTCCCGAGGCCTCTTCACTTGCCCAAGCACCTGCGGTGGCGTCTGTTAAAGCAGACCTCAGAGTGGGCAGGGCCGGCACTAGACACTGGTACCAGATCTGGGGGCAGAGAGCGAAGGGGCCCCTGAAGCACACAAACAATGCTCACGGTACATTTCTTTTGTTCAAGCGACATACTGGGCTGGCTTATGGGGGACAGGGGGAGATTCCATCCGTTTTACAGAAAAACCCTTCAGTTACAATCCAAAAGAGCATAAGATGGCACCAGTGGGTCAGGTTTTGAAGTGCCCAGAGCTGTTAGCTCTCTGTCTCAGTCGTGCTTAATGCAGGGAGTGAGGAGTTTCCCAGGAGGTCAAGGCCTTCAGCCAAGTGTGAGAGGGGCAACTCCAGTAGGTGCCCATGGAGCTTAAGGGGGTTCAGGAAGCCGGGTCTTCCTGTCCATGTGAGATGGCCCAGCCAGGTGGGAGGTGTGTCCAGAAGGAGGCAGGTGGGGGACGCTTTCCAGGAGGGAGGGAGTCCAGGGGAGAGGAGGCGCAAGCTTCAAGGGCCAGCAGCATCAGGGGAGGGACCTGGCTTTTGGAACCAGCTGGTCCCTGGGCAGGAGGTGGCAGTTGGCCCTGCTGGGGGAACTCTCAGGGTGACTCTCAGACCCAGCTGAACCCCGGCCTTCCCATAGGTACGCTCAGCTGTGAGAAAGAGATGGCACCGCTGGCAAGACCACCATTCCCTCCGAGTGCCCGTGGCTCGGGCCATGTCCATCCCCACGTCACCCACGAGGATCAGCTTCCACAGCATCAAGCAGACAGCCGCCGTATAATGCATCAGCCGCCCCAGACGCCCAGCCATCACTCCACCGACAGGATAGCTTCCTCATCCTCCACCACTGCCTGCCTCTGGGTTCTCCTGGCTGGTGGGGGCAGAAAAGAGGGGGAGGCCAGCTGTGCAGGCTGGCAGGAGAGAGGCTACGTAGCCAGCCATGTCACACTGCGGCTCCAAGCTGGGCCCAAGTCTCAGTGCAAAAGGGAGCAGAGCAGAGAAGTCCCAAGCACCCCGAGAAGAGTGGGGTCGCATGTCTTCAGGAGTTTGCCCACATCAGCCTCTTGCTGGATCCCCACTGTGGTCCTATATGCAGATGAGGAAACTGAGGCCCAGAGCCAGAAGGGCTTGCCAGGACAAGTCATGGTAGACATATGGCTCTGATGCCACACTCATGGACAGGTCTTCTGGCTAGTGGGCAAGCAATGGTTGGCCCTGCTCCCTGCTTTCTGCCTCAGCTAAGTGGTGCCCTCTGTATTGGGGGCAGGGGTTATGGGGGGGCAGGGACACAGCCACTGAAGGAAAGTCAGTTCTGCTGTCTTCCTCCTCAGCAGTCTGTACACCACTCCCCTAATCTGCATCCTCCTTGTCCTTGGGACCCTTTGAAGGAAGGATGCTACTTCTTTTCTCCTGGGAGACCCCACAGATTCAGGCCTAGTCCACAGATTCAGGGCCTTGGGGAGGGACAGGTGGGAAGCAAGGCATGGTCAGAGCTGCCAAATACTGATGTCAACAAGATACACCTTGCAGAAAGGACAGGAAAAAGCATGGGAGGGGGAGGAAGGAAGACGTGGGATTGGAATAGCAGAAACAGTCTTTGGTGATAGGAACTAAACCCCAGGCCCCACCTCAGGCTGGACTCAGTCTCCCCTCAGATAAGACATCTCTGCTCTCTGAAATAAACCATGTCTGTGTAAACACCTCCCCTGAGGTCAGGTCAACCAGCATCGGAAGGGGGGAGTGGGCCAAGGGTGTGGGGGCTGCTGAGACCCTCTGGCCCTGGCCTGGAGCCAGCTCTTCCTGAGGCCCAGTGCGCCAGTGGGCCTGTCCCTTCATCACCTCAGCGCCACCAGTGACTGCCCCCTTTTCTCAAGCAAGGGCAGTTTAAGTCAGGATTGAGGAGTGGAGTGGCTCACCCAGCCCAGCCCGTCTGCTCCCAAAGGCCAGGGCTCTGGACTCTGGATGGAAATGTAGACAAGGCTTTACAGTCACGTGAGCAGCTCCTCCCAATTTTGTTTTAAATTATATATTCTATCTTGTGTATTTTCAAGATGATGTCTGATTTTTTTTTTTTCCACATAAGGTTTGAGTTGCAAGGGATGTGATTTCTGGCATTTGGTAAATATTTTCATTTTAAAAAATATTTACATTTTAAAATAAATCTCTGCAACACTTTCAAAATATATCAGAGTCAAACACAGAAGTGATTTAATACTTGCTTTCTGCTCTCATCTATTAAAAAAAAAAAGCACAACTGCTCTTCTTTCAAGATTGGATATTTTACATTGCTTCTTTTCATTTTGAATGTGTGTGTTCATTCTATTTCCCCAGTAGGACTTTATATTAATGAAGTTTTTTTATACTTCAAAGTCTTTTGTTGCTTATCATACTCCTCACCACAAAATATACTTAGAAATTAAATTAGAAATATTTAATTTATTGTCACCAAGTTCTAAGGCTTTTCAAAGTCTTCTAGGTTTAGTTATTACAGCTACTTTTATATAAAATATTATATACAATTAATTAAAACAATGTAGATACTAAGCGTTTAATAAGTAATCGCCAAGCTAAAGGAAATTTATTGGAAACAGATCTTAATGAACTAGAAATCTAATTTTCATGAATCTATAGATGAATATTTATTGCTAGAGAACATTTTTCTCATGTTTAATATTGCTACATGCAGAGACCCTTGCACATAAATAAGTAAATGTCACATGGTAAGTAGATATCGCTCAATTTCTGAACTCCTGAGATAAATCACTAAACAAATTTTTGTATATATCATCAAAAGTAATGTGTCATCTGGCCACTTGATTAAGTCCTCTCTTTAAATCTGACTAAAAAAAATATGAATTGAAAATTAATCAGGCTTGCAAAGGATTTTGCTAGCTGGGCACACGCTGGTCTAATTTCTCACCATGGGCAGTAGGGTGCCTGCTGGCACTTGGTCAGCCAGGTTGGGGTGCAGGGTGATGCATCCACGTGAGATGCAGAGTGCACCCTCTTTGTGCTGAGCAGACAGGAGGCCATTGGGGACATCTTGACTTTGAATTTTCTCCAGAGTTCTTGTGCACGTCTTGAAATGTCTTCTGCATGCCTGGGAAAGGCGGTGCGGCACGGAGGCAGCTTCCATTAGCATCGTGGAGGGCTCTTGTAGAGCAAGGAGCTATAAATGGCTGGGACCCAAGCGGCCACTTTGGCAAGCTTGCTGCCAGAAGAGACAAGTGCTCATCACAGCAGCCAGGCTGAAACTGGACCTCCCAAGAGCCTCAGTGCCAACTTGGGGCCACTTAGTTCTGCTGTTCAGCAGCAACACTCCCCGGAAGGCCCACAGGGAGGAACATCTAAGACACTGACCTTTGATCATCCAGTAAGCAGCTTGACCTCCTCTCACTCCAGTTTGCCACCTCAGTCTTCAGCTGACCCTGCTTTCCCTCATTATAAGGGACCCTGGTCATGGCCCCCACTGATGTCACTTTGAAATGCCATTGCACCCATTAGGCCCGCCTTCAGGGTCCCTGCCTTGTCAACCTCATTAGGAATCTACTCCTCCCAGCCCAGCCCGTTCTGAGCAGCCCAGCCAGTGTTCATTCGCGTCTGCTTCAGCGGGGGCAGCCCCTGGCTGAGCTAGCCTTCCTGGAAAGTGGTCTCATTAGCAGACTTTTCTCTGTAGCAGGCAAGTTGGCTCCCAGACCTCAGGCCCTCAGGCGCTCTTGTTTAACACTCACACTCCCGAGCCCGACTGAATAAAGCGGGAGAACACTGGAGCCACACGGGTAGTCTTCACACTAGCCTGCCGGGCCTCTCCCACTGGGTTCTGTGGGCAAGGTCTGACCCCACATGGCCCAAGCCCCTGCCTCATCACCCAGGTGAGCCACAAAGTGCCCAATGCAGTACAAGCTAGTGAAGGTCAAACTTGCCAACAGGGGAGGCAGGTGATGAACATCTATGGGAGAAGAAGTGAAAAGTGTGGATGATGCTTCCCTCCCAGGGGCCCCAGCTGGGAGCCTCCATAGTCAGGTGCTACTCATGGGCTGAGACCTCAAGAGTTCTGGCTTTCTGTGGAAGAGACTGAACTAGCAACAGAACAGAAAGTGGGCTGAAAGTGGAACAGGGATGTTGGCAGAAACTGATCTCTAGGATGTGGGCCTGCACAGAGGAGGGACACACCAGGCTCGATGACCTGGAGGCAGACTCCCAGGATGGCAGAGAGGCCAACATGGACTCAGACATGTGGGCACAGAAAGTCTCCTCGGGGCACCCTGAAGAGGACCCCAAGCCTACACATATGCTTGCTCACCATCACTCCCCGTTTACTAGGCATCACTGTGTGCCTGGTGTAGGGAAAACAAGAGTAAGGCAAGGTTCCCATTTCAAGAAACCCAGAATCTAGTTGAGCTCCCAAACACAAGGTAAAAGCAGGAAAAGGACAGAGCCTGTGTTTCTAGCTGGGAGGCTGTTGGCTGCCATTTCTGTCTGCCCCAATGGGGAGGGGTCTCCCGAGCAATGAAAAGCAAGCCTGCTGCTGCCATTGCCACCCTCCTTAGCCTCTGTGCTCCCCACACCTACCTGACCCCACAGCCATCTTGGGACAAAGTTTGTGGGACACAGGAATATCAGCTCACCCTACTGGTGAGCCGCAAAGTAACCAATGGAATACAAGCTAGTGAAAGACAAACTTGCCTTCCAGAGATCTGGGTCTGGGAACTTGGCAGCAGACACGACTGGGGAAGAGTTCTGGAGTCGGCTGCTCTCTTTTCCCTGAGCCTCTCTGGAGTCCTCCAGGTAGATGGTTGCATACACAGTGAGGCGGCAGCAGGAGTGGGAGATGTCCCCTGAAAGAGCTGAAGAGCAAACTCAGGAGACAAGGCCTAGTTGAGGACTTTATAGGGCGTGTCTGGGGACTTTGAGACCCAAGGGGAGTCTTTTCCAGAGTGACATTGCAGGCAAAGTCACAGGAGTTTGGTGGTTAAGAGTTGTCCCTCAGTGGAAATGGTGGCTGGAGTGGCAGAGAGCATGGGAGGAGGGTCAGAAGGAGGTCCAGGCAGAGAGCCTTGCTAGGGGACACTGCTCAGAGATGTCATCAGACCGACTGGGTTGCTGGTTGAAAGCTGACTTTGGTGACAAGTACTTCCAGAATGGGTGGATCAGGGTACTGGAGGTTCTGTTGCTGGTAGTATTGTTACAGGGTAGCCCAGAGCGGACTGGGCCGCCTGTCTGTGGGGTCTCACCTGCGCTCACAATTCAGTTACACTAGAGGTACACACAAAAGGGTCAATAACGGGTTTATTTACAAAAGGGAAAAGGAATAGGAAACAACCCAGGGAAAGAGAGCGGGATACAAAGTAACTGGAATACCTTATGGCTAGGCTGACTGAACACGCCAAGTCACGCGGTCCGGAGAGATACTTCCAGAGCGAGAGATGCAATCACGCCCTATTTATCCCCCAAATATCCCAGGATTCCTGCTAGTTCTGCCCTTGAGTCCTCAGAGTTCTCTCCTTGGTACTGCTGGGAGAGTTGTAGTCCCCAATCACTGAAGTAGGGAATAATGTCCCGAAAGCTGGAGTAGGGGGTGGGGTCCATAAGACTCTGCAGAGTTCCTTTAGGACATCTTTCCCCTTAACAGTAATGGGAGCCACTGAACAAGGAAACATCTCTTCTTTCCATCATGCACACACACAGAGAAGTGAAAGTGTGTGACCTGCCTTTCTGGAAATTTGCAGTGGAAGGTAGCTGGGAGAAAGGAACACGTTTCAAACATGTAAATTTATTCGTCACTATGATCTATAAAGTTTCCAGGCTCAGCCCCTAAGTACCACTAATTCTCTCCAGGCGGGCTGTGCCACTTGGAGATGTTAACTAGCAGAAGTGGGGAAAGGTAGGCTGAGATCATACCCTATGATTGATGGAGTTTCTTCCAAATCCTCTCATTAAGGATGCTTTGCTTAGAATTTAAGGTGCTTCTCATCCTCAGACAGCACCAGGCCTCTTCCATTAGGGAATCACCACAGTAGCCCCATCTGGCAAATCTAGCCCATCTAACAGGACCTAGCTCAAAGACCATCCCTCCTAGAAGCCCCCCTACCAGCATCAGAGATGTGCCTCCTCTGAGATGTCCTCGCTAACCTGTCCAGGCTCCTCTGCCAAGGGAATTACTGGGGGAATGTGCTAAAACTTATGCGCACAGTAAGAGCTCTACACCCAGCAGGAAAGGAATAAACTGGCCTTCCTATTCTAGCCAGAGCTGGTTAACTGTAGGGTAAATGAAGATGCTGCATTGAATGCAGGTGTGAATGTGGGCTCGGAGTGCGCATGCCTGATGGTGGACACGTGGAGCGTTGTGTGGGCATGCGTAAGTGGGCACACCTGAGCGGGGAGAATGAGTATATAAGGTGCAGCAGAGGCCGGGGTAGCAGAGTGCAGTGGAGAGTGATGAAGGATGCCGGAGCGCCTAGAGCTTGATGGAGGATGCCGGAGCGCCTAGAGCTTGATGGAGGATGCCGAAGCGCCAGAGCTTGAAGGTTTGCCATGGTTTGGGAGGCCTGCCAGCCTCCTACCCTACAAGCTGCCTGGTGCAGGACTACAACTGGCGTCGGTGAGTAGGATGAATCTACGCAGATGAGTATGGAGCCCTCCAAAGACCTCAGGGGGAGTGAGGGGTGGCAGCCGCAAGTATGTAGTGCTCTGTGGCTGGCCTCCTCTCAGGGTGCCTCCCAAGTCGCTGGTGCAGGTGGAGCAGACTCTGGGAAGGCTTTGGACGGACACGGTGCCTGCTCAGAGGCAGCCTGGGGGTGAGTGTTCTCCCACAGCTCTGAAAATGGAGGCCGGAACAAAGCTGGAGAAGCCAAAGCAGCACAGGGGTTACCAAAGTCCAGGAGCTTCGAGAACAGCTAAAGATGCTGCAGGAGTCGTGGGAAGTACATGTGGGAGCGAAAGGACAAGACCTTGTGTGGAGGAGACAGCCTGAGAGGACCAGCCCTGACCCCTAAGGCAGCAGAGTCGCTGAAGAAGGAAGAGGACCTCAGCTCCTCATTTGGACCAGCTTTTCTCCCAGTGGTGGAGCAAGCCTAAAGCCAGCAATTCTTGCAAGCTGGGGAACTTGGGTAGGTCGATACTAA